AGTTACACTATTATTATACAGGTTTAGTAAAGTATGCTGGGACTCTCTCTAAGAAACAAAAAGAAAGCTACAGACATACGAAGGAGTACTACAATTGGAGGATGTCACCACAAACAGCAAAACAGTAAAGTGGAAGTAAACTAGCCACATGTACAGAGAAAGAGTAGAAAAGTCGACCAGAAAGGTAACACAATGGTTACCAAGAGAAAATGTCAAAAGGAAAAGAGGTTGTCCCTTTAAAAGACAGTCCGATGACTTTAAAAAAATAGCTGTACCTCTGGACTAGGCTGACAAGAGACAGAGCCAGAGAGATCAAGCTGGTTAATTTATGAATATAATAATTGTCGATGTAATAGAATTGTCAGTAGAATATAGGTTAATAAACAAAAAATTGTACAATCAGAGGAATCTCTCTTACAAATGAGCAGTAGAGTTTAACCAGTATGACCATTTCAAGTGCAATTTACTTACCTGTGAAATAAAGATTATTTTATTTATTATTATAGTTTAGTGGCCATTGTCTTTCTGGTTTTACAGCCTCATTTAATGATCTCCTAATATTACTTTTGACCAAAAACTAAAGTTACCTGTAAAAGCATTAATCCCCGGTGTGCTTGTCGTAGTGGGTGGCATGGTATACCCTAAAGTAGCAGTCTGGCTAGACTCTCCGCTGCCGCCAGATTTTGCAGCCGCAGCTGCCTTCTCCTCTCTGTAAATGCAATTTGCAATGTTTAAAATAACAATACATTTTCCAGTAAAGAGAGCAAAATAACATTCTCAGGGCATTAATTGCTGCACCCACACCACAACTCCAAATTACACAACTGTCTGAAAATGTTAATGGTTCTCCAAGAAGCTAAATGTCAGAGAGGGCTAGGTTATCACATTTATATCACAATTTATAATTTTCTTAGACACATAGTAGCAGAATGCAATATCAACTAATTTTTTCAAAAGAATTAATATTGATATTACAATACAAAGAGATTAAGGGTCGTATTCTAGAACTCTAATCAATTCTCAAGTCAGGATTGCACTGGAAACACAAGCACTGGAACTACGACCCTAATGGCAGGGACTTGAGTATGATTTCAAGTGCTTTAAACCATACTCAAATCCTGACTTGAGCATTGAGTAGAGTTCTAGAATACGAGCCTAAAAAGTGAATCAAAAGGTGGAAAAAACCAACACAGACAGTACAAGAGTCAGAAATGCTCTATGGAATCTATGATTCAGTAATGAATGGTCATTTTTTTTTTTTTTTTTTTAATAGAAAAATTTCTTTTGAATGTTCAATCTTTGTATTAATAATTATAACAAACTAGTGGAGTAATTTCACATTAATATAATTGAATATCAATTCAATAACATTTTTTAAATACAACAAATAGCGACATCTCTAGCCGGGGCTGGTAGCTGTTTAGGTACCTAACTGGGTGACTAAAATATTAAATATTATTCATAGATGGCGCTATGGTTAAAAAGTTCTTGAAAAATACAATGCAAGCACATAGAAAAATTCGTGAGGTGCGCTGGATCGTTCCGTGACTTAGTTGTTATAGCGTCTGGCACGGTATGATAGAAGCCGTCGGTTCAAATCCCGGATTGAAGAAATTTTTTCAGAGTGTTCGATCTTTGTATTAATAATTATAGCAAACTAGTGGAGTAATTTCACATAAAAATAATTGAATATCAATTTAATAAAAATTTTTTAATGAATGATCATTCAAATCATTTGAATAGGAAAATTAGTAGGTTGTCATTCAAGCGCGAGAGAGATTGCCATTACCCAACATAGCAACCACAATTTCCAGTAATGTCCTGTGTCAACATCAACAACAATGGTGTAACGCGTAGCTCCATCAGTAAGGTTAGCACAACAGTAGACTTCCGGGAGAGCGACATAAATCTCTCTATACAGGAATTGCAGTATTTCGCGCTCAATGACGAAGTCGCGCCCTGTCGTGCTAGCCCTACAGGAGAAACTTGGGAGCGACTTTAAAAAGACGCAACACTTGTATGGTCTTAACTGTTTACAAATTCCACACCGAACCAACTAATTGTATAGAAAAAGTCAACTCCTAACGAAGTTAATCACGGAGACACCGCAAACGTCGTTTGTTTCGGTTGAGCCACACTACCTACTACGTCATTTTGTGCGGATATAATTTATTTTAGTGTTTTGTTTTTCAGTTTCACAAGCCGATGACACCAGAACACGTAATTTATAGTGCTTGAAAGCTTGAAAGGACATTTTCACTATGTGGTTTAATGCCGGTTGATACTCATAGGACACAGTAAAAAAATCGTTATTTCCAAGGCAAAAGAAATACGTACAACAATTACACATAAGTTTAGGAGATAGTGAATATTCTACAGAAAATAGGAAGTAATTTTTTGTAGCAATTTAGCTTAGATTTAAAACAAAAATTGCATCTAACAACAAAGAAAATTACGAAGAGACGTTTTGAGAGCATGGCACAAGCAACAAATAACAAAACTGCGATATACAAACCGTTTTTTCTTAATAAATGGATCCAACACTTCAATCCTTCGCTTAGACATTTTAGAAACAATACATAAACCAATATAACCGAAACAAATTCGAGATATTTCGTTAAAAATTTCTCAACAGAACGCGGCCAACAAAATGGCGACGAAAAATGGCTTTTGGTGATTTTGTTTTGCTTATGGTTCCGGTTCAGAGTTGCCAATACAAATTATTCGAATCCCCAAAAATCAACAAAATATAACCATCTGTGAATGAATCATGAATCAAGCATGAATGGTACAGGGTCACGGACACTTAGTAGTTTGTGAAGAACACGTCAATCTTGCCACATTTAAATTCAACTATATGCCGCTTATGATAAGAACGGTCCAAAGTACAAAGCTTGACGTGCTCTTAACTGTACACTATACTAGAGAGAGCAGTGGGCTTAACCCCAATCAATCAGGTTTTAAATGGGTTTTTTCCCAACGCATCGGGTTGTAATCCATTTCTGCCTCTGCCTGCGCCGGGTTAAAACTCGGACGCTTGCCATCTCTACACACAAAATATACAATGTAAAGCAAATGATAAAATTAGATGACCTTAAAATCGTTTATTTTTAATGGTTTAAACATTCATCTTCAGTCTTCAAATTATATACATAATTTTTCTAAAGCCTTAAAATTAGCAATGCGCATTTGGTGACACTATGCTAAGATTAAAAATAATCGTCAATGAGTAAATTAAGTTTAGACCTAAATTTTATTTAATATTTAAAGTTGACGGGTGAGAAGTTGGGGTGTGGAACTACCAATAGCTCAACTTTATTTAGCAATAACTGCTTTTGTGTATCTTCATAAAAAAATTCATTATAAGCGAGCGATGTACAATATTGACAAAAAATTTGATATCGTTCATCATGGCGTCTTTATCAGTAACCATTAAACTAGCGATGCATTGCAATCGATAGATTAAACAAAATTATGAAATGTTATAATCCTCGCAAGTTGGGGAATTCTACACAAATTGACAACATTTTTTTAGTCAGTGTTACTATATACATTCTTGCTACATACGTTGTCTATGGAGGCAGTAAGTGAATAATATCATTGCCTCATCTTCGATAAAAGTCATGTTCTTATTTTTACATTTCGTTTTATGCAGCAATTACATCGGACCGTTAAAATATTACTGATGATATTAACATCAAATTTTGAATTAAAATTATCAAATTGTTGTGGCAACCTTTCTTCATTTATTTCCGAAATCATGCTTCATTTTTACAATAAAAAGAGATACTCAGCATTTCAAATTCAGGTTTCTCTAGTCACGTTTTGGCATTTGATTCCGTAGAGCGGAATGTTACGAAACAAAAATGTCAGAAGAAAGAGGAAGTGCGTATTTTTATTGCGTGCAAATTTATTGAAAAAACTGTAAATATTTGCTGTAAATTGTGTAAATAGTGCAGTGCAGTATAATAAAAATTAATTATATCATCACAATACAGTGATCAAACAATGGTTTAAGGCGATCTTTTGGACAAATATAAAGTGCTCTCTGTTCTCGACCTGAATTTTTGTTATTTTTTATTTCCCGTGTTTAATTTTATCTCGAAAACGACGTTGGAAACGAAGAAACCGTATTTAACTTCGACAGACGTGAGTATTTTAAGTTTATTTAAAGATTGCACTTTATTGCAGTGCAAAATGCACAATTCAAGATGGCCGCTTTGTATAGATTTTTATTTATATTATTTAGCGAGTATTACTCACGTTTGCCCCTCTAACTAGTAAGTATTGTTTATAGTAGAGACTGTATTTGTTATTATTTTCAATCAACTTTCTGCTGAGGTCACCATTTATTATTATTTTTACCAAATTTATCCAGAAACTTGTTGCAACATGTCCCAGTTTTTCTTCACTATGTACCTTTGATAGGTTGGCAGGTGCAGGCACCTGTAGCTAAATGGCAAGAATATTATATATATAAGAATATATTATAGCTTTTGGGTAATCCATGGATGGTAGTGGAATGTTATAGGCTAGATATTGTACTATTCTTTGTTCTTTTGCCATTCCTAACCAATAGTTTGGTGTATGCTTTCTTCATCACTTCACTGTTAAGAAAATTGTCACCTTCAGCGTCTAACCAATCTGCTGAGTGTGTGGCAGCAGTGAGCAAGGTTTTCATCACACCATCATCATCCCTTGGTTTTGGTCACAGTCTGCCGTGCTGACCCAGTTTGTATATCACTTGTTTTCCGAGGCTTGTGTTAATTCAAAGAATACACATTTTTTTATGATACGTTAGTTTAGTGACAGGACAAACAAGTTGCACGCCTGGTTGCAATGCCACCTTACCCATCAAAACCATTGCGCAATATTGTTACATTACTGCTTGACAGTAGAAACTGGTTATTTGGCAGTACTTCCCTGGATGAACTCTTTCACAACGACCTCTAGTGCTATTATGCCATTCATTTTGAGCTATGATGTTAAGGACATATAACTCCCTTCTTTTTGACTAGAATAAATCGACCCCTCCTACATAAAGTATCAATGTCGAAATTGCCGAGCGCCTTCAAGTTCTGAATTCACTGAAAAGAGCATAACATGTGACTTTAGCATCTCTCAGTTTTATTCGGCAAAGCTTGTTACACAGAGTATTATAAAATCCTATATATCGGTTAGATGATCATTATGTGTGTAACAAGTTTGGTTGATTAAAACTTAGAAATGCTAAAGTTACGTGTTATGCTTATTTAAAGCGCTCCCCTGTAGACTTGGCAATTTTGACATACAATGCTTTATGTAGGAGGGGTCGAAATAGTAATTGCAAATAAATTTGTGTGTGTGTTCTTTTTTGTGTGAAAAAATTCTTAAGTAATTTTCATTGTTTACATCATGGTTATTTCTGTAGGTGAGTCAACATAATCTTTGGTTTTAATTGGTATAACCCTTTCAGCATGACAAAATTATTTTATGTGATAAGATTTGATGTTGCATTTTTTTAAGCATTTATGCCGTTAGTAAAAACAAAAAAATACAAAAAATATCTCCTCTTCCAAAACCCTTGCAAAAACCCCCCCGCACAATCATGGCAACCCGTCATTAACCTTACCAAAGCGTTAGTGGTTTTTTGTTATGACTTAATAAAAATTTTTAATTAAAGGCGACTTGTAAAGCAACAAAATCAACTATATTAATGAAACTAGAAGTTTCACATTTTCATTTTCATTTTTTCACAGTTTCACATGTTTCACATTAAATATAACAAAATATGATTTTATTATTAATTAACGCAAAATACTAACTAATCGAGATCTTTTTCGTCGATTCTTCGTCAAAATACTCACGAAAATAATCAGAGGGTGGGCGGCAAGTTCCAGTTGTAGGCCGAGATGAGAGACCACAATTGATCCCTACCATCATATGACATTTGCCTCCACTTCCTTGATCTATGTGGTGACGGTGCGTCAGCCGAACGACTTCGCCTTTCTGATCGTGACCGTTCCCGAACAGAAGTATGGCTTCGAATAGATGATGATTGACCACGACTTTGGTGAGCATCAGAGTTACTTGAACGGGGACTGTTAGAAGATCGACCAAGACTGGATGATAGAAGTGACTGTGGAGAATTCGGAACCCTCTGAAAAACGACGGGTCTGGGCTGGTTCCTCTGCTAGTGATACGCCTTTGCGGCGTCACTGGTGGCCCCGGACTTGGGTATCGATTCGCTGGGGATTGTGGTCAGCTAGCAGAGGATAAGCTGGATGCCCTCCGGTCCCTTCAGTCTCTTAGGTTATTATAAACTGGAGAGACGTCGTTTTTCAGCGTCGGGAAGTGAGCGTGCCTACAGCTCCGTTACCTATCTGGAAAATAGGGAGGAAATATCTGGAAAATATTGTATGTGCACCCGTGGCGGCTCACCCGAGGCACTAGCCTCTCGAACAACCGGATGAAGTCAAGTGACAGAGGTCTGTGACAACCCTGTACAGGCTGATCTGGGGTCAGAACCTGAACTTATAATGTTCTTTTCCATTCCACAGGTTATAGTGCCCTTGTCGGTAGGGAAGGTCACTATAATCAAAACTAACGTAGAAAAATATGGGGCTGGTCTGGGCTGGTGAGAGTATCCACTGATTGACTTTCTGGTTACAAATACGACTTTATTAGATATACGGCTGCGAATGTCGACCTCCTACCACAACTGCGAATGTCGACCTCCTACCACAACTGCGATGACTACCACGACGACTAGAGCAATCCAGGTTTAGGTTCGATTTCTTCTGAGCTGATAGAGAAACTAGAACGTGACAATGAAGAATCACTATCACTTTCTATCTCCTGTTCACAATGTTCAAGGTCATATTCACCTAACTCCGATTAGTCAACGTTTCCGATGATTTGAGTAACCAAATCGCATGTTAATGTCTTGAATCCAAAAAGAAAATTAAGTAAAAATAAAACTAATCTAGTCATTTCCATCCTGACAAGCACGATCGTGTTTTATGACTTTATGACTGAATACAAACCACAATTTCAAACAATGAATTTCACTGTTTAATTATTCTTTGTATGTAAATTATATAATATATAGGTCAGAAAACATGAAATGATGAAATTTAAAAAAACTTGCTTTTCGACCTCCCGTCCGTCACGTACACGGTCACACTTGGCACAGGTGTGTAACCCTAGAACACATTAACAGCTAATATTGATCGATCTCAAACAATCGGTGTTGACCGAAACAGTAAACTTGATTACTTTATCCCTAAATTTTTTCAAACTTGAACGCACGATCGTATCATCCTGTGCTGTAAGGGGTAAACTATTGCAGAACTGACTTCCTGTTAAAGTCATCTATGTTTGTTTTAGTACAGAGCAGGCTCGTCTTTTGATGATATCCATTCTTCGAATACTACTGGGTGGTGGTAGTGTTTGAATGTTCTCTGCAGTTGCTTGCAATTCCAATGTGGCAACTAGTCATCTTGCTTATTTTTGTTGCCAAGCAGTAATATGAGCTTTAACCACGTTCCTATTTTGAAGGATAAGAGTACAGGTGAAATTACAGGGACATGGGACTGGTCAACTTATGTCTGGGCGCATTGACAGTGACCTGTATTATCTTTGTGATTTAAAGATCTGCGCGGCACTGCAACTGTCATGGACAGGCATGTCACTTACCTTCACGCTCACAACTTGTTTGCCCAGTCATTTGATATTATATGAAAAACTACAAAATACTTGTAGATGTAATGCAATTGCATTGGTCTCTTTAAGGACAATTGTGATGAGTCATATAACACAAGTGTCATTGTCAAATTCATGTCTTTGTACACATAGGTTACAAAGGCGTATACGCTTCTAGATTATAATAAGTTTCCAGTTGATATTCAAAATGTACTCTTTACGTGGTTTAAAACGTGTATTTAAAAAATCTATGGTATGGTAGTGTAAATGGCCCCTGATTATTGAAGTAAATTAAACGTATTTGAGACAAAATTAACGTTTTTCGTCATTGACTTACAAATAAATGGACGACGGGTCTAATACAAAAACCACGAAAAAAATGTCCCAAGTCAACCTATTTAAACGCAGTGACATGTAAAGGAATATGAAAAAGCTAAAACGTTGAATTTAAATTGTAATGTCATCGCAGTACTGTCTAATTTTGCTTGCTTCGCTGTCAGTCGAACAAACGAAGACTAAAGCGTAAATGACGCTCTGTATACGATTTTAACGCCCTATAAGTTCGGACACGTTTTAGTGCGGACAAGACGTCCATATAATTGTAAGTCAATGTTTTTCGTAACACAAAATAACAATTTCGTAAATGTACTGTGACGTCAGTGTAAAAATGCTAATCTCTTTTAACTTTTAGTATTTAAATCCAGCTTGAGACATAAGTTAACAAGTTCTGTGTAATTTGACCAGCACCCTTACACTTCAAAACCGGAACACAGTAATGCTAACATTACTGCTTGGCGACAGAAATTGGTAAGGTGGCAGTATTTTCCTGGACAAACTCTTTCACAAGCTCTACTGCTACTACAGATCTTTTATGCTACCTGTAAGGTATCGATATGTCTTACTGCAAGACACGGATCTCTAAGGAGAGGTTTGGGTACCCAAAGCTGGGGTCTTACTCTCAAAGCATGGAGACTTGTTCCACACAAACAACAGGAGCTTGTGTATTCCAAACGGGCATAAAGTTCGACCACGCTAACGATGTTTGTTAATTGGCGTCAATTGAAAACATTTGACAAAATGAACTAGATAAGTAACACAGAATTAGACATGAATTGGGGTTTTTAAACTTGTTAATTAATTTGTGAAACACACAGGGAACGGGTGCGAATCGGGCGCGTTTCGGGTCTAGAGGACGGGGTTGTAAATCCGTGTGTGCGAGCGGGCGCAAAACCCGATCTTCAGAACAACACTACCCTAGTATAAGCAAAAAAAAAGGAGGAGGTTGTATGTTCAGCTGTATGTGTGTTTTCAGATATCTCCGTCAATTGCTAATTGATTTAGAATATTCTTTTTTTTGTTTGAAAGGGTGCACTCTCGTGATGGTCCCATTATCACCAAGTTAGAATCTGATGAGGGGATCCCATGAAAATCGAAGGAAATCTTCAAATTTTATAGGCATATTCGTGTGTCACCAATTTCTCCATCAATAGTGCATCAATTTTGAAATAGTTATTTTTGATACAAGTGCGGAAAGTTAGTCATTATTCACGAGTCTCGAGACAAGTGAAAATGACAAATCCGCATGTGTATCAAACAACGTTTTTTATAACATTTGCGAAAAACCTACATTGAAAGTAAAATAAAACAGTATTTAAAAAAGTTAGTGAAAAAGGCGATGAAAAAAATTAGTACTTTTTTTGGCCGACTTTTTTCAATATGGCAACTGTTGCCAGTATTCAGCCACATTAAAATTACTATTTTATATTACTTTATTTTCTACATAATCGCTACTAAGGAGCATTTACTTCATAGGTGTAAAAATGCGGTCTCTCCATAGATATAGTATAGTAATGACGAATGACTTACGTCACAAAGCACATAAATATGAAATAAATATACAATCTCTTTAGTTCTATGTTTAAGACTTAAAACAACAGTAAATTTAAAAAAAACTGGAAAAGTAAAAAGCACTAATGCGAGAAATCCAACTTTCCGCACGATTTGTAGTGCGAAAAATACCACGTTTTGAGCAACTGTATTAAAAATTCTTTTTTTGTTAGAAAGGGTATACTGTCGAGGTGGCCCTGATGCTGTTCTGGATTCGTTTCGGCTGTCACAAATTACTAATTATTTTCCGCAAATAAAAGCATTTTTCACTTGACACAATACATGCAATCAACACATCACTGTCACCATGACTTCTGAAAACAAAATACAAAATGTGTAAAGAATTTATACGTTGTCAGCAAGAAATCAGAATCTGATGAGGGGATCCCATGGAAAACGAATAAAGCCAATAAGCAAGCTTTTGAAGTCAGTTTTTTTTTTTTTCAATGAAATAATTATGGGCCTGCACGTAGTATGTTGTCGTCCATATAAATACAAGGAATTACAACTGCCGCGCTCCCGACCCGGGTAGCGCCCGACCCCATCCGCTTCAGTGTGTTTTACACTTTAAAAATAGTTGTATATTTTGGTAATAAATCTTTCATAGATTTCGCATAGATGGCGCTACGACTAAAAAGTCGTTGAAAAACCAAATACAAAGACACGACGCAAGCACATAGAAAAATTCGTGAGGTCCGTTGGTTTGTTCCGTGGCTTAGTTGGTATAGCGTCTGGCACGGTATGCAAGAAGACGTCGGTTCGAATCCGACCGGATCGAAGGAATTTTTTCTAAGTGTTCTATCTTTGTATTAATAATTATAACAAACTAGTGGAATAATTTCACAAAAAAGAATTGAATATCAATTCAATAAAAATTTAATTGATAAAGTTTTTTTACAACCTTGAGGATTTTTGTATAAAGACATCAAATATTTGACAATTGTGTAATTAACTTAATTATAATTTTAATTTTTGACATTCAAGTTGTAATAAATTTTAATTGAATTGTATTTTTAAGACGCCTGACTTGGGTAAGAATTGTGGATTTAATCGCTTGTAAGTAACACCTGTATACTTTACCAAATCATACAATAAATGTTTCTGATTTCTGACAAAACGCCTTCAAAAGTAGTTTTGACTTCCCCATCACAATGTGCGAATCTACGGGTGAACATAAAAGTGACTTGTATTTTGTTACAGATGGTGGTTCGCCGGCCGAACCTTCCATAGTTGACCAATCACATCACCATGGGTCAACAGAATTCCAAAAAATGTAAGTTACAACTTTACATTATATGTGAGCTATGGGTAAAGTTATCGAAATTTTCTTATGTGTTTTTTTTAAGATGTTTTTACAGGATTTTCGGGCATTCTGCGACGCTAGTGACAGATTTTAGAACCGTCTTCACCGTAGCCAACACCTGTACAGGTGCCTCAGACTGACGTAGATGTCGCTTTTTGTTCAAATGTATTGTATAATTTTTTTTGTAAAATAATAACGCATACACTCTACATAGCCCCGCACTAGGAAAACCCTGTGTCACGGGTGCCATGGACACACAGATAGATAACCACAAATGACACCCAAACTCACGAGAGAAATAAATGTAGGCCAACAAATATTTCTCCCGGACTCGAACCTGGGACCTCTGCGTGGCATTCGGCATAGTAACCGTTCGACCACGGAGGCAGTTACAAATAACTACACTAGGAAATGAAACTATTTTTCCGGATTTAAATTGGGTGTATTTGATTTTTTTTAAACAAACCAACGTTTCGGGCCCGTTACAGGTCCCATGGTCATGGTTTTACATTTCCTGTGTGTAACAATTGCGAAAATGCGAAAACCTAAAAATTTTTCGGGCATTCTGCGCCACTAGTGACATCTAGAAAGAGATTTTAGACGGCAGCGAAGAAGGTTTTAAAATCTCTTAGTAGATGCCATTAGTGGCGCAGAATGCCGAAAAATACCGTACAAAGTACGTAAAATACGTACTTTTTGTATGATTGAATTATAAACATGTAAATTCACATAGCATTAATCGAAATAGTAACTGCGTAAGAATAATAGTTGTTAAATGTTGAAGTCAAATAATAATAATATAATTATTTATTCAGACAACGACATGGTATAGTCCAATAGTGTTAGTATCTTACAAACTATCTTAAAAAGCTATGTTAGTGACAAAGATAATCTCAGTACAGAGTACTAAAAAAAACGACCTCGAAAATACGTGTTATTAAATCTATTTGCTAAGTTTTATTGAAATATCCTTAAATTCGCCACTACACAGGACTTGACACTGGAGATAATAAAAATCACTTTTTGTGCGTTTTAATAATGTATTGTATAATTAATAATAAACGGAGTGACATACATAATTTTAATACTAGACATAAATGTAAGCTCGTTTTACCGAAGTTAAGACTTCAGAGGGTTCTCGGTTCTTTTGTGGGGCAAGGAATTCAGTATTATAATAAGATTACAAAAGCTGTTTTGGACTTCTCCTTTGATAAGCTCAAAAATCATGTAAAGCCAACTGTACTAAGGAGAGGATATTATTCTGTTAGGAATTATATAAACGATAAGATGGTATGGTTTTAAAAATTGTGTAAATGTTACGATTTCAAGTGTAATTTGCTTAGCTACGAAATAAAGATAATTTTGATTTTGATATGAGGTGTACATTAAAATTTTCGAAATCGAGATGTCTAAATATTCAAAATACATAATATAAAATATTAATAATTTAGTCAAAAGTAAAAGTTCAAAATAACTAAAATTTACGATTAATAAAATACTAATTTTAATCATGTTAAAACGGTAGAGTTATTTCACAATAAATCGTAATAACAATGATATCTTGTTCAGCAGGCAGCAGCTGCGGCTGCGGCGGCTGGGATCGGCGGCGGCTCGACGATGCGCCCACTTCCGTGCACAGATACGTCACAACCATTACCGACAGGTTTGTATTTCATGTTCTGGGAATTATAGGCCCTTTATTATTTATTGATTAACTAAGATTTTAGAGGCAATGAGAAACAGTGCAATTAGTATTCTCATGTAAAAATAATAGTGCAGCTCCTAGAAAAGTTCCGCCAGGGAAGTAATTAAAAGAAAGAAACTAGTTCCTTGTGCACGGTCTTTTTAGTTCAGTCGGAATAGGATCTGTTTACGGGGCCATAGACGCGAGGCGAAATGGAGTGAACGAGACAATTAATGGACTATCATGACCTTTAGTACAAGTTCGAGTGAGATACACGATTGAACCTTTGCCAACTCGTACCATCAAAATATTAATAAAATAGCAAAGAGGGAAAACAATAATTTCATATCGGATAATTTCATTCCGTATCCTTGAAAGGCCGAAACGGTTCCTGTTCCCTTCCAATTCCCAGATCCCACTGAACTAAGGAACTAAAAGACTGAATTAGTTATTTTATCCGAATGAACTAATTGGGATCGCTCCCTCTAAAGACCGAGCAGGTACAAGCGTATTTGAAAGTGATATTGGACCCGATTGGACCGGGTCGTTTATCACCGAGATCATTACGGTTAGCATTAGCCCTACAATGGCGCGTTTAATGCACTTGTTGTACAATCTACTATTCATTTTTACCAGAGGCCACGGCGAATGTAACTGCACAGCGTCCCGGAGTCGCGGTGTGGGCATGTTCGAGTGGCGACGCCGCGAGTGGCGCTGGCGCAGACCCACTTGCGTGTGCACCGGGTACAGACGCGTGTCTGATGACAGGTGGGTAACGACCTTTATACTTACTTACTCCGCTAGCTGAGACTGGTATCATAACTGGCATCACAGTACGTTTACTGAAATATTTTATCATCATCATTATATACAGCCTGACTTCACCCACTGCTGGGTATAGGCCACCAAGTTTCTGTGCCACTCCCCACGATCCCGTGCCAATCTCATCCAGGTTCTCCCCCCAATTCCTGCGATGTCATCCGCCTGACTCGCCGCTGGACGCCTGTATCCAGTCCTTGGACGCCACTCAGTTATCGCCTTACTCCATCTGTCATCATGTCTCCGTATCAAGTGCCCTGCCCAGCTCCACTTTAGCTTCGTGATGCGGTTCCCCACGTCCTTTACCTTAGTTCGACTTCGGATCTGGACATTGGGAACACGGTCTATAAGCTTGATACCGAGCATGACACGCTCCATGGCTATCTGTGTAACTCTCTCGAAATATTTTATATGCTCGTAAAAATATACTTAATTTTATTAACAAACAAGATGATCCCATAATATGAACCTTAGAACTTAAGTCCAAACTCATGGTACCAGAATTTCGTTTAAGGCAAACGACTTTTTTGGGGAACTGTGTACGTTTTTACAATAAGGTTCCGGAATTTTAATTGAAAAGTGATATTATTACAAAATTATAGAATACGTGTTAGTTAAAGATGTATGGAAAGAGAACACGAGTCTTGATTCCACACAATTATGATTCAAAGAGTATTCCATAGCATTTAAGTTTGAGCAATCCCTAGAGTTTCTTGCTCGTTCTTCTCAGGGAGGTCGGCGTAGATAACGAGCATTAGCTTAAAAAAATTACGTTAAAAATTTTACCTATGGAATAAATGATTGTTTGATTTTGACTTGCTCAGCGACCCGAAGTGGGTCTTGGCTTCCAATACGTGTTGGCACCAGCGCACCTACAGAACAATAAACACTTTAGAAGTGATGAGTAAGCGTAGCTCAGAGGTTTAAGCCCGCACTCGAACCCACGACTTCTACTTGAGAGGCGTTAGATCACGTCATTAGCCTACCACGTAGAGTAAAAGCACAGATTACAGAATATACAGATACACAGTCCCATACAAGAAAATGAGTCCATGCTAAGTTTTTAGCTTCCGCTAGCTATTTTGATTCGTTTAAGGTACACTAGATGGCGACTATAACGCGACGTCAAAGTAGGAGGTAGAAAGCTTATTACCCTGCATAGTAACTAGATGGCGTTTTCATTTATCACTAGCTAGATTGATTCGATGAATAGATTTAAACTTAGGCCTGTTGCGTCTTTAAAATTTACGTAGATACATACTTACGTAAAACCACATACTAAGTTCTGTCACATATTGTGTACGGAAATAAAACCACGTTACTGGTTTTTACTAAACTATTGCTTTTTATTAAATAATGTATGTAAAAGATATCAGTTGGGTACACTACCTACCTAGACGGTGGCGGTGTGTGACACAATATTTTACCCTTGTTCTTGAAGTCAAATATCTCAGTAAATTAAAGTTAGGAAGAAGATAATATTTTAGGGCATATATTATATAACAGAAATTTCATATGTTTTAGTACGTACCAATTGTATTATTTAGTTAACTTTTTAAAACATTAGAGTGAACTGTAGCACGCTCACACTCTCATAATGTGAACTCTGTAGTTCAGTAAGAAATCTGTGGTATTATCAATGACTCTCGACATCACATGGCACTTCTGCCAGTCTCGGTATTTTCAAATTTACGTCTGTGACTATAGCGTGATCAAACAATTACAATTTACCCCTGGACTCGTAACAACTTCGTAATCAGATGGCAAGGTACTGGATATGTATGATAAGCTTGCGACGCCAACATTTTTTTACCTCTGATTTCGAATAGTTGCTAAGAGACCAGAGGTCAAAACATAAAATGGCAGGTCTCTGGACAAAGATTAGTGCATACTCCTGGATCGCCATGAGAAATGTGGGAATTGTGGACTTATTGAAAGAAAACATGTTCACTGCGCAACGGTTTTATTATCACTCTCATTACAAATTCAAATCATCTTTATTTCATAAGTAAGCAAATTACGCTTGAAATCGTCGTACTGATTAAAGTCTACTGCTCATTCGTAAGGCAGAGTCCCCCGAGAAGAATGAGCAAGAAACTCTACTCTACTCTTTTAATATACATTTGAATACTTTTAACATTTACAATATTTATTTCAAACATCTTAGATTGAGACTACCAGCAAGAGCTTAACGGGTCACTACCACGGGTTCTTGTCATCCAAGTACGCAGACGCTGTACAATAAAGTAACCTTTGAAGCTTATACATTGCCCCTTAAATGAATTTATGACTTTGTAAAGAAAATTGTCAAGAATAGCTAGTTTATTTTTATTTCTCGTGTTAATGTTGTCTGTCACTATTTTGAATAAAAAAAATACTGTTCTATTAATATCGGCGTAAGTCAATGTCGGCAGCATTACCCCAAAGCAAAATGCGGTATGTCATTAAACTGTGAAAGTAGATGAATTCAACCAATCTAGCTGTTTTGGCGTCTGACAGTTTTCGTATTTTTTTAATCGCGTACACTGCAGAGCTAAGCCGTTTCGATAATTTATTGATATGTGGACCCCATTGCTTAGCTAATGCAGATATAATATGCCACACCTCAAGAGCCTGGTCACCGCACTGGCTCGAGGACCATCGCCGAGTGCAGCAAGTTGACAATCAATAAGCGAAACCTTTTTTTAAATGTTCCCGAATGCGGGGCTCAACAATTCATCATTGAATTCCTTATTTATGTTGGAGAATTCTTAATTTGGCTCGTCCTTGAAATGATTTATTTCTTGATTTACAATAATCGTGAATTTTAACTACAAATAATTTGTTTATTAAAAAATCAATATGAGTGTAATCATGGTAATCATCTGGGAGGTTTATAATGCACTTAGCACTTTTCATTAAATTTGCCACCAAATCAGTTTTGTGGATCATATTGATGCTGTTATTAAATAAATCAAGCATTTCATTTGCTAAGCAGTACAAAAAATCAGTTGGGGCTTTAAGTGTTGGTGTTGTCAAATTTGAATATGTTTTATTAATCAACAACAATTGCTTCTTATCAGCCAAATCAACTTCATTATTAATCAAAATTCCTTTACACATTGAGCAATCAAATTTATCTATTGTCACTTTGCCTAGCCAGCCAGCAAAATACACAACAGAACAAGTTTCCAGTGTTATTTCTTGGGGTATAACGGTTAGATTACCTTGAGATGTGTACGATTGAACCGGTGGGGAGGAAATAACGGGCAAGGCGACTGCACATGATGGACCAGCAATTGGGTGTGTCAATGTCGACGATGATGACATTTCAGGTTGTGTATTTTGCTGTTGAGCTTCAGCTGTGTTTAAAAAGTGACTTTGATCAATTTCACAATTTGTATTATCTAATTTGATTAAATTATTTAGTAAATTTGATCGGAACATGGACCTTAAATTTTTTGATGTTGGATTCCTGTTACAACCACCTCGCATTCTATAAATTCCAAACAAATTTTCAATTACATCTTGATTTAATCGATTTGTCATAAGAAATTTGACTTCAGTGCCTTGTGAAAATTCCTCAGTAAACAGTGAAGTACAGCGTTAATTGATTGCTGTATGCCTTCAAAACAGGGAGGAATCGTCAATTTTTTCTCCTTTTTTTTGGAAATCGTAACTTTTTTCAATTGATTGAACATTTCGTTTCCTTTACTTAACGTTTTATGAACTAAAGAATCTTTGTTTTCAGTGATTGCGCATTTAAATGGATTTCTATCAAATTTACATTTTGAATTTAATGAATCAAACAAATCATTCACATTTCTCACAAAATCAACTGTATTCTTTACGGTGTCACTCTTCAGCTCTCCACTGGCTATCGCCGTCTCCATCGCGGCCGCTACTGATCGACTAAATACTTGTGTGGCTAACTTAACTTTCATTTTTTGGAAACTGTTTGGCTTCAAGTGTACTACTTTTATTACTTTTATCAATATTATAAACCTTGATTATGTCATCAAACGAAATTTCATTGCCATTTAAATCGTAATTATTATCAAGTAAATTGTTTCTTATATTTTTAATCAAATGAGGAACATCATAGATCGAAAATATTTTGCGATTCTCAATAAAAAAAAAAAGATCATCTTTTGTTGCCCCCAAGGATTTGATTGCCTTGACATTGGTTGTTGCTTGATCACATATAATTACTTTTGGCAATAATCCAATCACAAATAACTTATTAATTATGGATTTAATAATTATTATTAACTTTTCAGCAATGACATTCTGATTTGATAAGAAATATACCAGAGGGATTTTCCAATTAATGTAAATCCCTCTGGCAACAAACACCAGTGCATACTTAGCTTCCTTGGAGGAATGCTCACCACCACCAAAATTTTCAAATCCTTCAATCAAATCATATTTTTTTGTATATTCCAAATCAGTCTTGATACTCATTTCATCAAAACATACAGCACAGGCTTTTTCTTTAATTGGTTGATCAGCAAATTTCATTTGAATATTACGAAAAACATCTTCATTAATACCTGCCAGACAATCTGTAGCTTGGAGCCAATTTTGGATTATAGTGGGAGCAGCTAGGACCAGGCCTCCTTTTAAAAGATATTTATATGTAGCTGGAGACTTATAATATAAAGATAAGCAAAAATTTTTTTCATCTTCATTCCATTGTCTACTTTTATTTTTAAATTGCATGCATGTAAACACTTTCGCCAAATCTCCTTTAAATTTATGTGTTTTAAGTTGACACAATTTTTTTTCAGTAAATTCTTTTTTAGCCTATTATATTTATTTTTTTGTTTTTTTAATAATTTACTTGAATTTTTTACACTAATTTTTAATTTTTTACACCTTGGTGTATCATTATCAACTGAAGTCCTTTTTCTTCTTCTAGGTGTACTAAAATCTACTGTGGTTTCACTAGGTGACTTGGGTTGAAGCCTTTCTTTTACCATTTTGTTGCTATATAACTTTTTAGGAGTCATTACTTTCAGAGGTGACGAAGTTTGCACTAAAACAAAAAAATAAATCAAACACATTTACTCACTAACTTAACCCACTAGTCTCGGAATAATAACAATGCCTAAATAAAGTATAAATTTTAATATAAGTTAAAATTTTATGAAGATGAAAACTTTAGCAGATACCATGGAGAGTGTGCAATGGAATGGCACAATTTAATTTTTCCTTTTCCATCACGGGGGACTAGACATAGGCTTAGGTTCCACCCATATGTTGTGGATATTCCAAAGATTGACACAAAGCGTTACGATTCCACATTTATATAGCGAATGGCTATGGAGTGGAATACCCTTCCCAGAAACTTGTACCCTGAACATTATAACTTGTGCCTTTTCAAGGCGAGAGTGAATAGGCATTATTTAGGTGTGCATGCACTTGCCATCAGGTGAGATAGAGGTCAAATACGCACTTACATATTTATATTAAAAAAAACAATATATTAAAAATGGTTCATTATCAAATTAATATGTTCATTTTACTTTTGATAGTAACAGCAGAAGAAGGCTTTGCTAAAATTCAAGTTATGCGCTGATGCGATGATGATCATCAAGTTATGCGCTGATGATGGAATGATTTCCATCCCATGTAACATCATTTATTATTGAAGTTTCAAGTGAAGTAGAATACAAATTATTTATGTATAAGAATACATATAACTTTTTTATGAATTTTTTTTCTCAAGTAATTCATCATCATCATGTTCACTCAAGTAATACAGTGTTGGTACTGAAACCAAAAGGTTTACCTTTTGATGTTGATGGAACTGGTGAATGTGACCTGCTGCTACATTCATCATCTTTATAGTGCAAAGGTATTGCAAATTTCGACAGCCTCTTTCTTAGTCCACTTTCATTTTGGATACATTTTTTGTCGAAATGCTCACTACAGAGGTATCTGTTACGGAGTATATTTTCATTGTAATTCATTATGGTCATGTTACCTAAAACAAAAATTAATTCATTATAATGAAATAATAAAATTAAATAAATCTGAAAACCTACATTGAAACCTGCTTTTCAACACTTTTTTCAATTACATATTTAGCTGGTACATGATACAGAAAGACTTACCGCAATTATTTATCCAAACTTTTAAACGGGCTGGATCGCTTATTGGGAACCGAAACATGGATCTTTGTTTGAATGTGTAATTGCACATAAAATACGAACATTTGACCGGTGACATTTTGTTTTGTTTAAATCGAAAATCAACGAAACCCAGATGATGTTGCAACCGAGATCAGTAAAGTTTTCCGTAGCCAAGTCGTCGTGTATGGTAGATTCGTCAGAGTCCAGATTTCAAAGCAAAGTCGTAGTGTATGGGAGATTCGTCGGAGTCCAGATTTCAAGCACTAGTCGTATTTAATTAATATAGCATTTAAAATATCCGTGTCAATTCGCAAAATTTCGCTTCCAAAACAAACAAACAAGTAAACAACCGATTGCGCGTTTTGTTCAATTCAATAAAAAAATCAACGTTTTAAAATAATAAATCATTAAATAATCAAAAACGTTTTTAAGTACTAAAACCATTCATATTGTTAGATATTTAATTTAACAACTTTAAAATAAAAAATAAATAAAACAAAATTAAGAAATAAATAAACTGAAGAAACGTTTCAAAATAGAGGAACAAAACGCGAAGGTAGTTTATTATGTTTTTTAATATCAGGGCCATCTAGCGTGACCAGGTCAAAATAAAATGACAATGCATTAGCTAAATGACAATCCATTAGCTAAATCAATAGAGCTGACGGCGCGTATGGGCCATAGATGGCGTTGACTTGATAAACAATAGCTGTGTTAAAGTCTATTAGTTGTGTATTTTTCTTTTAAAAAATGTGTTGATTGAGAGAAAATATTCATTTTTATCATGAAATATTTTAGTTTTTACTTGTAATTACGTAACTACGGCTTAAATTGCCAATTTCGCTTACTTAATATCCAACAGGCTATCCATGGCGGCATCTATGATTATTTTTTTGTACTAAAAATATTTTGTATGAGTTGGGACCCCATGGTAAAAGTCACTTTCACAGTATTTATCAGTATAATCAATCAACAATAGATAATTATAACGCGTTCACACCCATAGTCCCTCACTAGGGAAACCCTGTATCGCGGGTGCCATGGACACACGTACCACAAATTACACCCAGGTGAGAGAGAGAAATAAATGTAGGCCTTACAAATATTTCTCTCGGCCCGCGAATCGAACCGAGACCTCTGCGTGGCTGTCAAGTATGGTAACCGTTCGGCTACAGAGGCAGTTAAGATGAGTAACAGAATTACAACATAATTCAACTTATTTGTTATAATTATTAATTCAAAGATCGAACACTCAGAAAAAATTCCTTCGATCCGGCCGGATTCGAACCGACGTCTTCTAGCATACCGTGCCAGACGCTATACCAACTAAGCCACGGAACGAACCAGCGGACCTCACGAATTTTTCTATGTGCTTGCGTCGTATCTTTGTATTTCGTTTTTTCAACGACATTTTAGCGGTTAATTTTTTTTCTGTGTGTTGGATCTATGTATTACTAATTATAACAAACTAGTGGAGTAATTGCACAAAAAATAGTAGATTGTACAACAAGTGCATAAAACGCTCCATTTTACCCAAGACGAGTATCCTCGCCTGCGGCTCGAGTGGATACTTAAGTCGAGGGTAAAATGGGTTTTATGAACGAGTTATACACTCTGCTTTTCATATCGATTGCGAGGAAATTAAACAGCAATATTACAACGATTATTTAATTAAAATTGAATATAAAATTACAACAACTAGACATATTTAAAAATTTAAATACAATTCAACTTATCTTACCTAATATGGCTCGCCCGAGCTATTCTCTCACAAAACCAACCAAAGACAATATCTGTCCGATCTTTTAAAACCTCCCACCAACATGAGTTTTCAGCCTAATAAAAAAATAAATGTATCTTTTTTTTGTATTACAGATTGGCTACAGTGCTTACTATAGGCACTCGGGATTTGACGCGAGACCTGCGCAGGGAACTTGACGCTTTCGTCTTGAATACAGGTAATTTTAACTAAGACCTTGTCCAGCAGAGTCGAATTCGCCTAATCTCTCGCGCGAGTCGAGATACTAGGCACTTTTTGGTATTTCAACTTGTTGAGTGTAGAGGGCTGGTGGAAACTTATTTTCTAATTAGAATTGAAAACATCCATCCATACAGCCATGGTCGTGTAATAAGAAGAAAAACGGTCCGATACTATTATATAAAGCATTATAGTCAAGTTAGACTGCGTACAATCATATTATTTACGTAGAAGTGTGATGAAATAATACATTGTGTAATAAAGACGGTAAATAAGAAATTAAGAAGAAGGAAGAAGGCTGAGGGACTTAATATCTCGAGTTTTGTTTTTTTTTTTTTACTGTACTTTTGAATATCGAGTTCTTAGGTTTTCGCGATTGTTACACATAGGAAATGAAACTATTTTTCCGGATTTAAATCGCGTATCTGCCAGTCAACCGTGACCATGGGACCTGTAAAGGGCCCGAAACGTCGGTTTGTTTGAAAAAACAAATATACGCGATTTAAATCCGGAAAAATAGTTTCATTTCCTATGTACTTTTGAATGTTTTAATTTTGAACTTAATTAACCTCCTTGCTTCAACCTGCACCTGACTTATGTAAGTATATCGTGCTATAAATTAAAAAAAACTCCTTACCGACCATGGCTGTTATGGGAACAAAAAAGGCCCGAGGGTTTTATTACTCATGCTATCAAGCAAGTGTGATGAAGTTTTTTTACTAAATTATTAAGTTATAGTTTTTAAAGTTCTCACCAATAAATAATTGTTAATTATAGGTCTTACTCCGATTTTGAGAGCAGGTAAGTAAAGTTACATAGTGTTGCGCTTGTTAGACAGAGATCTTTTAAACTGTCATAATTATTAATATAAAGATGAAGAAAGACGAACACTTCGGAACGAACTAGTGGGCCTCAGGAATTCTTCTTTGTGTTTTTTGTCGGATCTTTTGTATTTGGTTTTCAACGATTTTTAGCCGTAGCGCCACCTATGAAAAATCTATGAAAATATTTCGTCACCCAATTAGGTAACTTTACAGCTACCAGCCCTGGGTAGAGATGTCCCTATTAACTGTAATTAAATTTTTATTGAATTGATATTCAATTATTTTTTATGAAATTACTACCACTAGTTTGATATAATTAATAATACAAAGATCGAACGCTTTGAAAAAATTCCTTCGATCTCGCCGGATTCGAACTCACGTCTCCTAGAAAAAAATATGTCATTGTTCGTTTACAGACGGCGACTCAACAAGGGACATTGGCGACCCGACCGCTGAGGTGTACGTGCTATCAGTAGCTGCAAGACCGTAAGTGTAACAATCCACTATACATTCTTCACTTTTCATAGATTTTAACTGCCTTCATATGGCCTATAAGAGAGTGTTCTTAGTTCAATGCCTATAAGTTTTCAATTTTGAAAGATCACTAATAAATGTACACCCCAATTACACAAACAACTTGCCTGCAAAAGTTGCTTGTTTATCGGTTTTCTACTTGATATATCGACCGCTCCTACGTAAAGTATCGTAAGTCGAAATTGCCAAGTTTACAGGGGAGCCTTTTAAAGATCTCCGTTTTATTCGGCAAAGCTCGTTACTCACATAGAGTGATCATTTAATAGATGATCACACATCATCTAACCGAAATCTAGGATTTTATAATACTCTATGTGAGTAACGACTTTGCCGAATAAAACTGACAAATACTAAAAGCACGTGTTGTGCTTATTTCAGTGAATTCAGAACTTTAAAAGGCGCCCCTGCAAACTTGGCAACTTCGACATACGATACTTTACGTAGGGCTGATCGATATATAAGAATCTTGCTTATTCGGAGTCGACGCACTACATCAGTGGTTAGTGTAGACGAGACTTTAGAAAGCGACGTTGTTACGTAAAACAAAGCAATCGAGGGTAGTTTCTCGCCAACGCCGACTGCACCCGCAGCTGTACAGAGTGATCGGGCTGCTAGGACTTTAACGCGCAATTTCCGTCGAGTTTCGACGCGGAATCTCACGATTAAGGACCACGAATTGGTTTGAAACGTGTCGATAAAAAATTCGACTTAAATACGTGAATTATCCGTTATTTTAGTCAATAAGTATCATGCTGTTTGGTATGGAATGTTGGACCCTGAACCCAACATTATCCTCACAACTGGAGTCCTTTGATATGTGGCTGTACAGACGTATGCTTGGCATTCGTAATAAGGGGCAATAGATACAGGATTCTTCAACTATAATAATGCATGGAAAAATACAATGAAAGCGTAGTTGTGGCAGAAGAAAAACCTCGTGGTTTCAGAGACTGGTTCCACCTTGGCACATGTTCCCTCTTTCGCCAACCTTCGTAGAGCGGCACACTAAGAAGAAGAACTTGATATATCACGGAGAGTTTGCTATGGAATTGCATGATTAAATTCGCCTTCTTCATGCCGCCTTCCCCATGCCAGCATCGTGACTGGGGTTCCGCGCCTATGTTGTGGATTTACATGGCTAACGGCAAAGGAGTAGAATTTCCTTCCTGCAGACTTGTTCCTCGAACGCTATAACTTGGGCCTTTTCAAGGTGAGATTGAATAGGCACTATTTAAGTGTGCATTCTATCAAGTGGGATAGATGTCAAATGCGCACTTATTTACTAAAAAAAAGTATGCGGTCGACAAATTGTAATCCAGGTCACAAACCGTTCACATGTGTCTACTTTTCGCCTTTTTTAGTAGATTGGTGGAGATAGATTCAGTAAGGATGTACATTTTGTGAAAGAATTCGTCCTGGGAAGTACTGCCACCTTTCCTATTTCTGCCGCCAAGCAGCAATGTCAGCATTATTGTGTTCCGGTTTTGAAGGATAAGGGGTTCTGGTGAAATTGCAGGCACATGGAACTTGTCAACTTATGTCTTAGGGTGACTGGAGCAGTGGCAGTGCCCCTCAGATCTTACAAGAGCTTTAAGCTCGAGTGACACTGCAACTGTCATGGACAGGCATGTAGCTTACCATCAGGCGCACGACTTGTTCATCCCGTCACATTATAAAAAAAAATAAAAAAGACATTCATTATTTAAACTCCTTATTGGGCACCGTGTGTAGACGGTCATATTTGTCAGCGTTTGCTTGTTTGTCTGTACGTCAAATATTTTTCGAAATACGTCAATAGCGAATACAAGTAGCCATGTACAGTGCCGCCATTACATATAATTTAAAAAATGAGTTATGATCTTTTGCAGAGCTGAAGGCGAAGCTTCACACACTGGCAGCCGCAACGAGCTCACTCAGCAGAATGATGGGTCTATTCGATTGCATCCACACTTCCAGGTACCTACTTTGTTGGCTATCTACTGGCCTGCCGCTTAACCGAGTCGGTACCTGAGGTAGCTGCGCGTTGCGGGAGGAGGGATAGTTTACGTCACAATTATGTCGCGCTGTACACGGGATAATTTAAACAAGATTTTTCGGCTTATTCCCACTGGCGACAAATGGGGAAAAGAAAACCCATTATGTTACCAGATGTCACTAGCGACAAATGGAATTTCAAATATTTATTTCTTTATTTCATCATTAGTACGGAGATTGTTATACCGTATGAACATAGACCCTGTTAGGGTATTGCAATCTAATTATTAATTTTATATATACTTAATTAACTATGTACTTACATTACTAAATATGTACTTATATTAGAAGTGTGTAGTTCGTGAGACACAGAACATTTATACATATTTCTCATAGCACAAGATCTGATAATATCCCAGTAGTTGCCGGGTGGTAAAAAAAAGGGAATAAAAATTCCCAATTAATGTTTGTTTATTGTTTCGGACGGATGTTGTTTCGGACTCCCAGGGACCGACTGATAGACGGTAGGCCTGTGGACGTATGAATGAAAGTGGAGTGGCAAAAGAGATTATATCCCACGTCGAAATCAACACCATTACCGAACGAAAATCTCAGTTTTCAGATTTAAACTTATTTCCAGAAATCCTTGTTTCGCAAGAGCGATTTTTCGTTTAGTGACAGTGTTGCTTTCAATGTGCGAGACACTAAGTGTGATTAGCTAAGTGTATTTATGGTATATTCCAGGTGGTATGCGGCGGAGAGCTGCGCGCACTGCTGTTGCGCGCGCCGTCGCTGCCCGCGGCGCCTGCGCAGGCCATGCCGCCACACGGAAAAGTACACACGCAGGTGCGTCTGCCTTACTTGATAAAAACAGTCGAGATTATTATTTTTTGCCTGGTGGCAATCGGTACGTCTACCCACAACAATTCCAGTGCCATTCAGAGCTTTAAATTGCAAAGATCCTATGATCACTGCTACTGCACCCTTTATCAATAGTGCATCTGTCTCATTCATATCGTGAGACGAAATATAAAATTACACATTTCCTTCTGGCTCTTGATTATGATCAAATTGAATTGCTTCTTCAGTAAAAATAAATACTTTATCTACACACGTATCATAAACCCTTTATGATGTGTTCAAAAACCACACATTACGACCAGCATAAAGAGAAACTGTTTTGTTAGAACAAATTTCTTATCTATGAAAATGTTATTATGGCTTCATAATAACATCGAATTCGATTTTATTATTACATCCAAATTTCGAACATCTCTGAAAAACAAAACCAATTTAATTGGACCTCAATTCTAATATCAGACGAGGTGAAGTTTTATTCGAAATGAATTGTGAATAGCAAACTATTTTAACAAATTTCACACGTTACTTGTCGAAATCGATAGTTGGGGCCGACTCCAGTTTGTCTATGAATAAAAAAAAAACGGCTGCATGACATAGGTGAGAAAACTTTTTATTTGCCGCCATTTCGCCAGTCGTGACATGCGGTTCCTGAACACATCATAGAGAGCTTATAATATATGTAAAGATAAAGTAGTGTATGTAACTGTACATAATTAGGCATTAAAACACTCGTGTGATGTTTTTATGAAACCCACACTCGTGTTTTAATGCCTTTCATTATGTAACAGTCATATAAACTACTATATAATACGTAATGGTAGGTATGTAAACTACCAGAAATAAATAAGTGTAACTAATTATTAAAAAGAGAAGACGCAGATTTCCGTAACACAGGTCATTGAACCTAGCTCAGAAGCCAGGGCCTTACAATCAAATGTAACGTTTCTGTTTAAATAAAGAATTATTATTATTTTTATATCGTACACGAGATTTCAAAGGGTGGTATTATTCACCCAGTGTATTCTGCCCTCTTTATCATAACAAACAATCAAATTTTAGTTATTAATTCATGTGCAATGAGCTAAACGTGATCTACAACCGCCTATAAGCAGTATTTTTATACCTTATTTAGTTTAAGTTTCGTTGTTGTGCGTGTTTTAAAATTTTATTGAATACGTTCATCGAGTTATTTATATATAATAAACTGTTTTGTGTACGGATATAATTCGAAATCGTAACACAACAGGGATGCAAAATTTCATAAGTGGAATTTAAGTCACGGCCATTCTCATATTTTCCCAATTCTTTTATGATTAAATTGTTCATGCCCTATACTTACTGTTACGATGAATGACTGTTACGACCCTAATATAAAAAAAAAATTTTTTTTTACAATATCATTAATATTTTATATGTTAAAATAATTTGCATATTATTGTACAATATCAAATGATTATTTTTATTTTTGTAATAACAAGAAGATTTGTAGTCTATTTTTGAAAACCGATGTTGTTAATATATTTGGATAAAAAAAAAATATATTATTCGAATCATCCGTATACCAAAAGTGGGCAAATATTGCAAACCCTAATTTCGATCTCTGGTCATAATAGAGGCACTCAAAGAATAATAATATAAAAATGTTTTACAGGTGGACTACATCCACTGCCTAGTTCCAGATCTTCAAGAGATTACAGCATGCTCGTATTATTGGGGCAAGATGGACCGGTACGAGGCTGAAAGGCTTCTGGATAACAAACCAGAAGGTAGGTGGAAATTTCGACATACTTAATCCCCAGACACTTTAATTTTATACCTCGTAAATGGCAAATTTTGAATATCAGCTGAAAACTTGTGATAGAAGCATATCGATCCCTCCTACGTAAAGTATCGTATGTCCAACTTGCCAAGTTTACAAGGGAGCGTTTTAAAGTTCTGAATTCACTGAAATGTGCATAACACGTAAATTTAGCATTTCTCAGTTTTATTCGAGAATGAGTTTTAAAGTAACGTGTTATCCCGAATAAAACTGTGAAATGCTAAAGTCACGTGTTATGCTCATTACAGTGAATTCAAAACTTTAAAACGCTCCCCTTAAACTTGGCAATTTCGACATACGATAGTTTACGTAGGAGCGGTCGATATACATTGCCCTTTAAATGAATTTGTGATTTCGTGAAGACGACTTTCAAGAACAACCATAGGAAATGAAACTATTCCGGATTTAAATCGCGTGTATTTGTTTTTTCAAACAAACCAACGTTTCGGGCTCTCAGGTCCCATGGCCACGGTTGACGACCGTGTCAATGTCAAAGTCACTGACAAGACAATCGCGAACACCTTAGAATTCGATAAGAACAACCATATTATGTTTATTCCTCGTATTAACGTAATGTCTATCACTGTTTTTTGTGAATTAATTATTATTTATTATTCTTTTTAACACAGAATAGAATTTATTTTGTGTAGTGCTTGTAACTTTAGACTGTAGAACCAATTCGAGAAATAAACTTTTTAAGTATAAGTCAGGAATAGGTTTTGTTTTAATAATATCAAGTGACGGGACGAATGGTAAGCTACACGCCTGTCCATAACAGTTGCAGTGTCACCCTGAGACATAAGTTAACAAGTCCCATGTGCCTGTAATTTCACCATGGGACAGTATGGGCAATAGCTGATAATTATTTTGCAATTCCAGGCACGTTCCTCCTCCGTGATTCTGCCCAAGAAGAGCACCTGTTCTCGGTGTCGTTCCGCAAGTACGGGCGGTCGCTGCACGCTCGCATCGAGCACTACCAGCATCGATTCTCGTTCGACTCCCATGACCCTGCCGTCTTCGCCGCGCCCACAGTCACCGGGCTCATTGAGCACTACAAGGTACTGAATCGGAGCTTATCGAGTACTAAAAGATACTGAGTCGGGCTTATCGAGTACTAAAAAGTAAAACTCAGTAGAGTCGGAACTTGTCGAGTCGAGTACTAAAAGAGTACCTTTTAGTACTCGACTTAACTGGTCGGGTTTACCGAATATTAAAAGGTACTGAGTCAGGACTTATCGAGTACTTAAAGTACTGAGTCGGGGTTTATGGAGCACTAAAAACTATCGAATCGGCACTTATCGAGCGCTACAAAGTACTTAATCGGGTTTATCGAGTACTAAAAGGTACTGGTCGGATTTATCGAGTATTAAAAAGTATTGAACTGGAGCACTGTTAGAAAATAATTATAGAGCACTTTATACTGAGTCGGGCGTATCGAGTACTAAAAGGTACTGTGTCAATTGTCGTCGAGCTCTTTTGACTCGCATACAGAATTTATTAAGAAATATTAACTGACACAGCTCATATAGTTAGTTAAGTATAAAATAGTAATGTTACGGTAATGTGACCAGGACCCGGCGTGCGTGATGTTCTTCGAGCCGATGCTGACGGCGCCTCTGCCGCGCACGCAGCCCTTCGCGCTGCAGCAGCTCGCCAGGGCCGTCATCGTCTCGCACACCACCTATGACGGTCAGTGTCCTGCTCCACGTTGGCCCTTTGTACGGCAATTTGGGGCTCCTCAAGGCTGGAATGTATAGTCATTTTTTAGACAAGCGGGTGTCATAGTCTTTAAAGTCTATACAACCTGAAATGGCTTTGGTTGATTCCGCAAACAGTGAAACTGTTGAATCAATCACCTTGCAAAAAAATATATAGTAAAAGTGAGGGTATACACCGTGTGAAAACACGATTTCTAAAAATTTTCACGATATTAAAAAAGCACAAACTTACCTCTTAAATTTTACAAAAAAACCGTTGTATTCAATAGGTGACATTACATATACCAAAGATATATTTTTTTATATCAACTGAACTAATTAGAACACATGTAGTGTGTCATTTTTGAAATGGCTTTAACTTCGTTAATAATAATAACATAATAATAACGCACACACTCAACATAACCCCGCACTAGGGAAACCCTGTGTCGCGGGTGCCATGGACACACACATAGACAACCACAAATTACACCCAAACTCACGATAGAAATAAATGTAGGTCATACAAATATTTCTCCCGGCCCGGGAATCGAACCTGGGACCTCTGCGTGCCAGGCCGGCATGGTAACCGTTCGGCCACGGAGGCAGTTAAAAAAATAAAAAAATTCTGAAATAAAGTAGAAACGTGATTACAAAAACCGTAACGTGTCCGCTGAACAGGTGTGGAGAAACTGCCGCTGCCGGCCCGGCTGCGCGCCTACCTGAAGGAGTACCACTACCGGCAGCGCGTGCGCGTGCGCCGCCTGGAGCCCGACCTGTACTCGCCGGCGCACGCCTTGTAGCAGGCGCCCCGGCCCCCCCCGGGCCGCCCGCCGCTGCTTCAGCGAGTACGACGCCGTCCAGCCCCGCGCCACCGACCTGTACCTGTCCCTGGGCCTGCGCCTGCCCGCGCAGGTCGACCACTTCCAGGGCACCTTCCGCCACAACAACGACCACCGGCCGGCCCCGGCGACCGATGCCCGCCTCTCTCGGCGCGCTGGACTTCGCGTCGTTGACACAAACGAAGCCGTAGGCGTTTCTCGTGCACCTCACCAAAATCTAAGTCCGCCGCTGCGTCCTCTGGGACGTCCCTTCCGCTGTAAATCGACGGCTCTGAATATATTCGATCTGCTGGACGCTGATGGTCCACGTGTAATTGAAATTGAAGACGATCATCCCGGATCGAATGAGAACCGTTCGACAGGACCCGTGCAACCTGCAGAATCGACTCTGCGACGTTCACATCCAGATCAGCGACCGAGAGAGTCCGATCGAACGGAACCTGAACGAGTATTTGCGCATCCTGTTACGGTACCAACGAATATAACTTCCCATCCGGAGTTCCAACCGCGACCACCGCACTTGAACCCTCACTACATACCCGAACCGAATTCAAAGCCGAAGTCTGAATTCAAGTTCACCGGTCCGATAATATCCTTCGAACACGGACCCCGCATCATTGACTTCCCAAACTTGAAAGAATCGCGAACAAGTCAACTGCGTTCCCGACTGTACCTTCATCGAGCAAATCTACAACGTTCAAGGTCGTATCAGCAGCCTGCAGGTCAAAATCAACAACGTTCACGACCCAATCAACAACGTACAGGTACAAACCAACAACGTCCACAACAAAACCAACAACGCTTAAATCAAAACCAACAACGCTTAAATCAAAACCAACAACGTTCACGACCCAACCAACAATCTACAGGTTTGAACCAGCAACGTTCACGACCCGGTCAACAACGTGGAGGCATAAATCAACAACGTTCACGTCAGAATCAACAACCTACAGGTCCGAATCAACAACGTTCTCGACCGATATTGTCTCACGAAAACGGAGCTAGAGTTGTTGATTTTCCGAATTTGAAAAAGCGGAATAAAACAAATAAGTATGTTAATCCGTTAGAAGCCATCGATGCAGGTTTTTTGACTTCGTTCTTTTTGAAACTACCGCTGAGCGCTTGTGTAGACAGCACTTTAAAAGTTTTGGAACTATTTTTCTCCAATCAAAATGAACAATTCAAGGAGTTCATGCAGTACGTTGTAAAGGAAAGCAACGATCCAAAGGAACCGGAACATGAACGTTCTCACATATTAGACCTTCCACTGCAACAAACGCGTCGAGTTGTTGTCCACGAAAGTCTACGATCGGAACGGCTAATTGCTTTGCAGAATGCAATAAACCAATTACCAATAGAAAGACCGTTTTTAGACTTGAGATTGGTCGTAACACGGTTCACAGAATTACGCCGCATACAGACCATGAATGATCGAAACAGCCAGCAGTTCTCGCGAATCCTGGACTCCTCGGGCAACTCCAACGTGACAATTGAACGAACTAATTATTTCCGAAGAATCGACACCGGCACTCATATGTCTCAAAACTTATTTCAACCGTGGATGATGGTTCTGCCAACTCAACTTAGGGAAGACGTGCATAGGGCGCAGGAGGTGAACCCAAACAGACCTATGATCTTCGACATGAGCTCTGAACCTTTTTACCATCATTATAATCAACGATTGATGGATAACATTATTTCAAATCCATCGTTGCTCAGCGTGTTGCAGGAAATACAAAATAGAGCTAGGAGAATGGCATTTCAGAATCGACGTTTTTAATAATGCCTCTTGTTCCATTGACGTTCAATATCGATAATAAATATCAGTAACGCCATCTAACGGACGACACGCACTATAGTCTGTCTTTTTTTTTAAGATAGAGTAAAATTACATTTGCGGGGTTGCCTGTTGTTATAAAATTTTAAATAGTCGTGTAGTAATTGTCGACAGTTTTATCGATAGTTTGTGAAAGGTAAACTTTGTCTGAATTGTGTATATTACAACGTTTTAATGATTACCAATTGCGTTATTGCCTTTATTCCTATTTGAACAGTCTTAACTACTAGTATCGAAATCAATTATTATCCATATACAATTTAGTAATATTAAATTAAAATGACAAA